GGGGGGGGACCTGAGCCTGGCATTGGACTCTGAGTGGTGTCACCCTGCTAAACTCAGGGTATTCTTCTATAGCTAGGGAGCCTTGATGGCTGCTAAATAATTAAGATCTAAGTGATGAAAATATAACTAGAAGGATTGTATATAAGTATATGAAGTTGAGCCAAGCTGTCATCTTTATTAAGGAAGCTAACCATATCCGATTCAAGCTTTTTTTCATTTGGTGGACACACTAATTAGCTATGATATGTCCACTAAAGATAATAACTGGGTAGAAATGCAACATATATAGAATAACAAAAGTAATTGACAACCATTATTTAGCTGACATAGGTTTCCATTCTTCTGGCTTAATTCAGGACTTATGGTTAAAAAATGGACAATAATAGTTTAGGGCAATAACTATGTTTGACGTTTGACATGCTGTGTTGCTATGTTGTGTGGTATTGCGTGGCAATCCCATGGTAGAACTGGGTGTTGTAGTCAGCTCGGGCTGAGCGGTTCCAGGAACCAAGTTCTTTTTCTGGGAAAGAACTGGCTTTGCAGTTCTCCCCAGGTTTTCTGGATTTGGCACGGGACTCTGGAACTGGGAGATTTCAAAGAGAATTAGGAGGGATGAAATCTCCATTCCTGGGTCCATGGTTTAGTAGTGGCCAGCACCTAGTGATTGCACACCTGTGCACAGCCCTTATGGAAAGGGTGCTGGCTGATGTTCAGGGCTCCTACTGGGAAGAGGAACAGATTATGTTCAGGAGTCAGGAGGACTCCACCCAGAAGCCAGAGTGAAGTGAGGTGGCTATATTTGCTGGAGGCACCTGGGAGACACCCAAGCAGGCTTAGTGAGCCTGAGACACATGAGGGATGTGTGGAAGAGTCACACGAGAGGTGTGGAAAGCTGCTAAAGGGTAAAAGCGTACTTCTGAGGAGTCTTGCTGATGAAAAACCCTATAAGTCCTGGGACTAGGACACATGGAGTATATGTGACAACCTTGAGTCGGTCAGACACATATTGTCTATTGCTGAAAAACAAGCAAACCTTATGTTGTTACTGAAGAAAGTCATTGTTCTGTTACAAAATAAATAAAAGACTGTAGTTTTTCTGTTAAAACGGCTTCGTTCTTAAGCACTCCAAATTCCCCAAATATCACAGTTGTTACATTTGTGAGTATTCCCAGTACATTTATTGTTTTAGAATGTTATGGTTATACACTTCTTCCTGCCTTACCACACCAGCAGCATGCTATTCCACGAGTAGTTCATGCTTATTATTCAGGTCACTGTAAGAAATTGGGAGCGGTGACCAGTGAGTTACCTTGCATGTAGTGGAGTGAAGTTTGGATTCTTCTATTCCCAGATTGATACTCACCAGGTGGTAAGTTGTTTTATGATAAATTGACTTTATTTAAAAGTACATTATGGAAGAGACTTGGAATGCTTTTTTCATATTTCTGTTTTGATTTGTATTGTAGTGTGATTTGTATTGTACTAAATATAATAAGTTACCCTTTAAACATACACTCAATGGCCACTTTATTAGGTACACCTTGCTAGTACCAGGTTGGACCCCCTTTTGGGATGGACATGGCCAGCAACAATACTCGGGTAGGCTGTGGTATTTAAAAGATGACCAATAGGTACTAAGAGGCTGAAAATGTGCCAAGAAAACATTGCCCACACCATTAAACCACTACCACTAGCCTGAACTGTTTATACAAGGGAGGGTGGCTCCATTCTTTCATTCTGTTTACGCCAAATTCTGACCCGATTATTTGAATGTAGCAACAGAAATCGAGACTTATCAGACCAGGTAACGTTTTTCCAATCTTCTATTGTACAATTTTAAAGAACTCTTGCAAATTGTAGCCTCAGTTTCCTGTTGCAAATTGTAGCCCCAGTTTCCTGTTCTTAGCTGACAATAGTGGAACTCGGTGTGGTCTTCTGCTGCTATAGCCCATCTGCTTCAAGGTTCGATGTGTTGTGCATTCAGAGATCCTATTCTACATACCTTGGTTGCTGATACTCACTCCATGGCTCAGAGCGCTAACAATCATCCCACGTTCAAAAGCTGTTAAATCACGTTGTTTACCCATATCTTCAGAGAAAAAATCACTTCTACTGTCATGGTAAACAACCTGCTTCCCTATTTATAATGGTCTGGCCCTCAAGCAACTTCAATGCGAAATTATAGCCAATTATAGCTAATTTGCCTACTAACATCAGGTGGTCATAATAAACTGGCCACTCAGTGTACATTTGCATTGGTGTGCATTGCATAAAAATGCAACATGTCTGCATTTTAACGCAGCGCAATGCACAAAAATGCATGCCGATGCACCTCAAAGTAGCAACATGCTGTTGTTTATACAGTTGAATATAGTGACATTTCAATAAAGTGAAAAAAAAAGAAAAAAGGAGACCATAATGTAGCCTGCTGGTATGAGTGGGCCCTTACTCTGATACAATTGCAGGAAAAAATCTCTTCCTCTGCACTAATACAGTTAGTATCCAGCACCTGTTAAACTGGTCACTGCTCAAATTTCACATGCTGCCTCAGCCGGAGTTCCAGCTGTGTGTGGCCCTGTTGGGGAATTTTTAAACACATCAGCAGGGCCGCCTTTAATATTGATAGCACTACTCCACTTATGAAATGCTTGACTTTCCTTCCACTTTATATTTTTTTTAATTATTCACTCAGTGTATGAATTTATATATGTATTTATAAATGAATTAATTAATTTACAATTTTATTTTTTGCTCTGCCTCTGCCCTGGTGGTGTAGTGGTAGCCCAGCCCTCACGAGACCACGAGGTCTCCATAATAGGACTTCCATAAAGAGGTCACTGTATCTGTATCGTGTTAGCCCCTTATGCGATAGCAATAAAGTTAAGTGTAAAAAAGGTTTACAAAATTAAAGTCACATATATATTTAAAAAAAACACTTTTTAAAGTCTCCTGCCCCCTTCCCTGTACATGCACTTACCAACACATGCTTGGTGTGCCAACATGAGAAAATAATGACTGTTACATATCATCTTGAACATCAGAAAGGGAGCCATAATTTGTGGGCCATCAATCGCTGTTAACACTAAATTGATGAATGGTAAAAGCTTTTAAAGCATTTCCTGTGTGCAAATTTCCTGTGAGCAAAAATCATGTAGCAGAATACATTTTGGCCTGAATGTATTTATTTGCAATGTTTCATAATATAGTGTAGGAAAAGCAGTTTCTTTTAAAAGAAATAAAATAAAAAAACCCAGTGGGGAATAAATACCACATAAAAAAGCTCTGTCTGTCCCAAAAAAATTATATAAAGTTAATTTCCGTACGGCGTTGCAAGACTGAACAACTGTTTAACACCCCGGTCTTCATTGGCTTAAGCTGGCCATACATTGCTCGACAAATCCTGCTGACTCCCTCAAAATGCAAGCAGTGTATGGTCCTGTCGGCACCGCTCGGTTCTACAAAAGTAGATTTTAGACTTTAGAAATACTTTTGTTGAAGGTACCAGTCTTAAAATTCTTGCTGCAGCACACCTGGCACTGTCAGAATACAATAGCCTGGTGGGGGGAGAAA